TCGTACACGGAACGCTTTAGAGCATCATCGATTAATGTTCTGAAGAAAATTGCCGCTCTGTTATATTTGAACAATCAAGTTGACATTTCCTATCGTTTCATGTAACAGCGCGGCTGTGACTTAAATGATTTAAAAATGAATGAGTTAAGGTCTTTAAACAATTCGTACTTATCTATTTAATGTTGTGTACCGCTATTTAACTGAATGGTAGTGAATAAAACCGAAAATTGTATTTTATGTTAGACTAGCTGACCCGGCAGACTTCGTAGTGCCTCAATCGATAAATAAAAGACCTAAACTTTTGTATAAAAGAAACTTAAAACAAACAAAAGGAATGCGTCCAACGGGGGACACATCAAAGAGAAAATAAAATTGTTATTTTTGTTTAATTCTGAGCATTTTCATATTTATCTACTTTTTAAACCTTCTCTGGAGTTCCACGAATAATTCAAGACCAAAATTAGCCAAATGGGTCCAGCTGTTCTCGAGTTTTAGCGAGACTAACGAACAGCAATTCATTTTTATATATATTATAGATATTTAACTTTTTGGCTGGAAAGTCAAAATCGATATTTTTAATAATTTTATACATTTCACGTCATTATTCAAATTGCTGAAAAACTATGTATAAAATTAGAAATTTTCGTATCTAAGATTACAAAGTTTATAATAATAAAAATAAAATACTTTTAAAGAAACAGGGTCATGGCAATAAATTCAATTATTTTCATGAGCGTCAGTTAATCAAAAAGAAAACAGGGCTATACTTTTATGTGAACAAAAAGCTACCCTAGTTGAAGATATCCTAGTAGATACCTTAGTTGGCGAATGTAGCTTTAATTATGAAAAACAAGCTTTCCTTCAAGTAAGACACACACAATTCTTCCAGCTATCTCTAAGCTATTTTCGAACACATTAGGTATTCGTTAAGGTTTTAATTTTACGATTGTAATAATGAATAATCCATCAGAAGGTTTAGTTGTAGTCACGTGTCGGTGATGTAACTAAATTTGCAGTGAATTAGTTAAGCCGCGTCATGTTTGTTGCGTGGCCCGTCACGTGGCAGCTGCGAACAATTCCCAATGATTAATGGGCTCGTATCGACTATTGATTTAATTTATATAATGTGTCCGGTTCGTAGTTGAGATGATTGAATGTCCGATCTATTTTATTGTTCTCGTCCGCTCGTTGCTACAGCACTTGGCCAGTGATCGTCCGATCCTTGATGCGTAGTACGTAATAGTTAATATTACGAACACTTCAGAAAGCACAAATGATAAAAAAGAAAAAGGGAAGGAGAGAGAGAGAAAGAAAAAGAAAGAGAAAATCGTTTGGAAATCAGTCAACAGGTCCGTATAATTTGTACAATAGGCGCTGTATTCATTAAAAGGGATCTATTCTAAATTAGCTGACCCGGCAGACTGCGTAGTGCCTCAATCGATAAATAAAAGACCTAAACTTTGTTTAATTCTGAGAATTTTCATATTTATCTACCTTTTAAACCTTCTCTGGACTTCAATAAATAATTCAAGACCAAAATTAGCCAAATCGGTCCAGCCGTTCTCGAGTTTTAGCGAGACTAACGAACAGCAATTCATTTTTATATATATAGATAGAAGATAGATAACCATTTTCACATAATTATGGGATTTCTGAAAAAGTTATGACATTTATATTGCTCTGTATATATTTATGTACTATGATTTATAATATTCAGAAAGTTCTAACGATATAGCCCAAATCTTTAAATATTATTATTAAACAATAAAAAAATGTACATATACATAGCAAAAATATTTTACTACAATATACGTTATTATATCACGTATTTACCAATATACTTACGCATACAGAGCTAACTCACAAAATCTTGACACTATTGCCTAATTTAAAAGTGTGTATGTATATCTACTACCCTATCATATTAATCTGTCCTTTATTTAAATCTAGTAGAAATTCATCATTCTCAAAATTCAAAACATCAAAAATCTTGAATAGAAAAACCATTTGTTCCTAAGCATATGTCCATAAAAATGCATGTCACGCTCAGGAAAGATTTGTCATGCAATTTTCTCATGCCCCGTCACATGTCTGTTTGGGCTCATTGATCTATTAGACAGAAAAAATTCAAAATTACCAAAGCATTTTAGCAGGCCATATAAAGTTGACGAAAATTTCAAATGGCATTTTAAATGAAAAACAAACTAAAGATTACATGTTTACAGTTTTTAAATATCTTCAACTTTTTATTTATTTATTGCTTAGATGGATGGACGAGCTCACAGCCCACCTGGTGTTAATTGGTCACTGGAGCCCATAGACATCTACAACGTAAATGCACCACCCACCTTGAGATATAAGTTCTAAGGTCTCAGTATTGTTACAACGGCTACCCCACCCTTCAAACCGAAACGCATTGTTACTTCACGGCAGAAATAGGCGGGGTGGTGGTACCTACCTGTGCAGACTCACAAGACATCCTACCACTAGTAATAAACCTCCAGTAATAACCAATAATAATTTATATACTAATAAGTTTTATTACGCATTTAAGATGGATTGATATTAGATTAAATAGTAACTTTGTCCCGGGGATGAGTCGCTTGACAAATTGTCCGTTGACGTAACATTATTTGTGTCCAAGCTGGCTTCTTGATTGATGATCACTTAAACCTAATTATGTAAGGGATCTAAGCAGTCGCCGAGCTGACTGTTACATTATAATACATTGCCTTGTGTGTTCGGTAGAAAGATTATGAGATAGCCTCTCTTAGAGTGAGTGTGGTTTGGGGTTCGTAGTTAGGTGATTGGTGTATCTCAATGTGAGAAGCTTAAAGTCTGCTCTGGTTTTTGCTGAAACCTACTACGGATCCAGAGCTTTGACCTCTATACAGGATTTCACTGGTAGTAGGACGTCTTGTGAGCTTAATACCAGGTGGATCGTCCACCTATATATGCAACAGATATTTTACTATGATTCAACCTAAAAATACATTACATACATACATGTTACTGGTGGTAGGACCTCTTGAGAGACCGCGCGGGTAGGTACCACCACCCCGCCTATTTCTGCCGTGAAGCAGTAATGCGTTTCGTTTTGAAGGGCGGGTTAGTCGTTGTAACTAAACTGAGACCTTAGAACTGATATCTCAAGGAGAGTGGCGCATTTACATCGTAGATGTCTATGGACTCCACTAACCACTTAACACTAGGTGCGCAATAAAAAAGCAATAAAAAAAAATACTAAAAAGGAATTTTATCAATATTTACTACACAAATTTTATACTTACTGGTAAAATAAAAGTTGAAAATTTGAATCGGACAATAAAGAACATTTATCCCTTTGCCCAATCTATTTTTTGGTAGAGCACACCGAACTTCTAAATTTGATAAAAATTGGCAACCCTATATAGGACTAGGACATCGACTGTAACCTAAACTAGGTCGAGGGTCCAAATCTGGATACGTACCAACATGTTTGAAGATACTTTGTAACGCTGTATCACCACTAAAACCATAAATAGATTCTTAATTTACAATTTAATTTAACTAATAGACAAAAAACAAATAAATGTGAAAATTAAGGAATGCAGGATTGCCATGTCAACTACTAATAATGCATTTATGAACCTCAATTATAGATAATATATATCACTATCAGCTTAATTAAAAAAAAGTATAAAAAGAGTATGTATGTTCTTATTTAAATTCAAATATCTAAGAATACAAAATGTCGCCTTGCTGTTAGCGAGTGTGCATGTGAAATGCCACTAATACTATTATTCACTTTAAGTGCATCGGAACATGCACACGTTCAGAATGTTAATAGTGTTCGAAATTTAAATAGAAACTATAGTTTCTTAACGAACAAAATAACGAATGCAACTCTTTGACAGCTCTATTGTTTTCGAAATTCAAAACTCTCCCGCCTAAAGCCTGGAGCCGCCATTACTGAAACCGCAGATAGAATCGACACAATACGTAGGTACTTCTAAGCATCGTTGTGATATCGTATTACACGGTGAACAATAAAGATTCGTCGGCGAACAGTACCGAGGCCTGCCAATACGTGAATACTCCCTCTAGCCATTACTCAATAACGAGACGGGGACTGAAGCATGTCATTGTTTTAAAATAAACCATCCGACGAATGACGAGCCGGATCAGTACGCGTCATTAGCGGGTATAGTGTTGATAAGCGTCTTTTTTTTTAAACATAGAATTACTCCGACTATTTTTGTTTTGGCAAGTTTGTAACTAATCATGAAATTGATTCATTAGATTAACCGGAAAAGGAAATTTAATTATAGACAACGAAAATAGTATGCTATGAAATTATTTATTTGATATCTACGGATCGTATCGCATTAATTACACAAAAAGAAAAAATATTATTAACGTAGCTATAATTTTAAGTATACGCTTTCGATAATTTAATGGCTTCGATCGAAACAAAACATATAGTCGGCGTACTGGCCGCGTATTAATTTTACGTTTGCTATACCCACAATGTATAAAGTTTGTACTTCGCTGTATTTGCAAATAATAATTTAAATATTTGTGATCGTTTACGGGAGAGCGCCCCGTATTGTTTCAATTATTTAACCGTATACAAAATCGATACGCCATTAAAGCGTACGTATGTGTACATACATTCAATTATTTGGAAAGTTTACATATTAATAATTTTGTTATCCCCGGTAATTCAATATTATTTGTACAAGGCTTGTTTACGATACGCGAGATTGGTTCGCGTTTAACGCGGCCGCGTAATTGTTGGGAAAATTCGATTATTGTTTGATATCGAAATCAATTGTTTGTTTTCTTTTGTTTGTAAATCGGTTTTAGTGAGCTTCGTCGAATTTAATAGTTTGAATGAATCAAAAACGATCGATGAGAAATTTATTCGGTGAAATCAAATTTGAACGAGAATGCCAAGTTATTATTATTCTAAGCAAGTGCGTACTTTAAGCATACTAATAGATTTTGTTTTGTTCCAGATGCACCATCCCATCCAAATGAAGCCGGCTGACAGTGAAAATAGAAACGGTAAGTTGTAGTATGTACTTAACCTTGTTCGTCCTTTGTTTTTAGGAATCAAAACAATGATAATAATAAGTGTAAGCTTTTCAGATACACGTGTTTTATATCTCTTATTATAACATCTGTAATTCTAGGAAGTACTGTATCATTTTACCTCTCGCTTACTCATTCCCTCTTTCTCTCTTTCTTATGATATTTAGAAATTGAAACTTTTTTTGTTTTCTTGGTCACGACTGAAATACGAAAGGAAAGGAAGAAGGTAGTTATTTAAAGAGGTTTGATTTTACTCCGAGTATTATTGTAGGCGGTACTTTTGACCAGGCGAAGCAAGGATCCGTTGATCTTTGTCGGCAAGAAAAAAAAACCCAACTTAGTCTGAAGCCAGGAGAATACTAAATAATGATATTTGCTTTATCGCAAAATTTTTGGAAACCTCGGGAAGGAAATTGCACTGATTATTTTCTTCATTGTTGATTTTGTTACGTATCACTGTATCTAGTACCTACAGACCTTTATGTACATACATAATATATCATACAGCAAGGTCGTTGCGAGTAAATCGTGCCCAATATTTACATGCCAGCATTGATAAGCCGTCTTACTGACTAACTTTTAGGACTAACGTTTAGGAATAAGATCGGCTATGTTCGTCACACACGAGTACACCTTGATAATTAGAAACGGAGTTTGAAGTGGTCGCCGTGGCCAAAATCGGCTAAGGAGAATAGTAGTACTAGCTCACGAAATTACGAAAATCGATTTTCCTACATAGAGTTGCACTATCCTATTTAATTATCTAAGACATTCAGAGAAATAAGTAATTAGTAAAACATCATATTGCGTAAATATCGAAATGTTCCAAAGTCAACGACCTTTGCTATGGGGGAGTATAAGCATACACATAAATCCCAAATCTCCAAACATCAGAACTCCAAATCGAAAATCGAACTCAGACCTGCTTAGTAATCGAGATGACGTCCGAAATAATAAAAAACAAATATTTCAATAAAAATCGAAATAAATCGATTTTAATTCGAAACATTCGGATTGTCGCGTTACTGTCATAAGCCGTAACTCTAATTGGATTAAAAACAAACAAGTTTGAAGAGGATAAAGGATAAGGGAATGAAGAAAACCGTGAATATTCATCGTTACAACATTTATTATTAAGCTTGTGAGGATCACAGAGGAGCTTTTGATGCGCGGGCGACGCATTTTTCATAAAAAATGTTGTATTGTCTGTGTTTTTACGTAGACATGCTTTTTACAAAGTAAATTTCTTTCTAACTTTTCTCGGTATTGAAAGTGCATTCTGAATCGATGTTATAGTCGAGATTATTTCTAAAGACAAACTCTTAAAGAGTAACCTTCGCAATGTCTCATCCATACCTGAATGTTTCTGTACAAAATATATTAGAACCGCTGTCAAGAAAGAAAATAGGTAGAAGAAGTAAAGATTCCTGGCGCGCCGTCACTAATTGTCAGTTTTATGGGTACAAACAGGCAAAGACAAAATACAGTTCACTTTTTCTTCTCTTTTTATCAAACGATTTTTCTTTCTTCGACCGCAAAGAATAGTTAGTGGATATTGATAATTTTTTTATGCGTTTAATGGAATTTTAGTTTAAGCAATGTATCATTTAGTTTCTCAAACTAAAAAGCTTCTCATACTAAAAAAAAAATAACGGTAAGAAAACCAAAGTGAACATAAGACTTATAAAATTATTCTAAATCTTTCGACGACTGGCCGAACACTGTTTAGTACAATAGTTATTAGTTATTTTGTACTGAACCCAATGGAGTTTTATGACAAAACAACTGAGGCGCGGGGTCAACGAACTCGAAGGAAACATGAGCATCGGTTGCCAGGTGATTCCGATATACATTGCGGGATCACGTTGTCTAAGTTTTTCTCATTTTTTGTCGATAAAGAGAAGCACGTTGTTGAATTAAATCGGTGCCTTCTATAGTAATATATGGTACCCAAATTGTTATTAACATTTCAAAGCATAGGTACGTGTTGTATATAAGCACGGCCAAATGCTACTTATAACTTATATAAGTCATAACTAATATTATTTCTCCGCTCTTCAGTTCAATATTACGGCCCATAATATCTAAGTAAATACGACCAGTGTTTGTTTGTTTGTCGAATACGCGATAAGCCAAACTCGAGGGCCGAATGTGTGGCTAAGCGATTTTGATACACGCTGTTTTGCTTCGTTCACTTTGTCGATGAGTAGCTAATCCCTGAATTATGTATTGTAACCATTTTCAAAAATCTCGCTGTTCAAACACTTCTGCGCATTATCATTCAGACACCAAATCTATAGGCCCAAAAAGCTCATTAGAAGATCTTGCCTTTGTAGTATATTACGAAAACAAGTATCAACCAGATATTTGTACTCACAATATTTCCAATACACCAAAAAAAAACAATGTTTATTCATCATCATCATCATTCTTTCCTATTACCCTCTGCTGGGGTGTAGGGCTCGAATCAAATTTTTCCATTTATATCGGTCTTGGGCAGTCTGTTCTAGCTCCTCCCACGTCATGCCCAAGACCCCTAGCTCCTGCTCCACCGAGCGACGCCAAGTTGTTCTGGGGCGGCCTCTCCATGTTTATTGACTTTTGAATTATTTGCAAGTGCCAAAATTCAATCTACACAAATATCTTAGTCAAATATTCATTTTACTTGACTCAAAGTCGCTGGATCTCACGTGTATTCGATCCTTAAAAATCTACTTCTAAATACCTTGGCATTCTGACTGCTTCGTTCGTAGTAGTAGTATTATCTTTTTTTTTTATGTCTATGTCTACCTTTGTTTCGTAACAAATGTATGTACCTTGAGATATTGTTTGCAGGGCATGTCTTGAAGCCAGTTAGATAAACAAGAGATTAGAGAGTAAAAGAGCTTTGATATTTTCTATTTTTAATTTTTTTTACGATGTCATAAATGTTACAAACTTACGTAAATACACTGATATATTATTTTTAGAATGTAGATCTTGTGTTATAGATAGGACGCTTCTATTTTTAAATTAATTTCCATGATATGTATTGTAGGAAATTAAAATGTACACTATGCTTGTAATTTATGTACATTTGTAATTGAGTCGACTATTATCAAAGCCGGCAATGTGACTTTTGGACAATTATTGGTAAATCAGAAAAACGAATTATTGACTTTGTATTCCATTGGCAGTCACAAAACTCTTCTGAACGACATCTTAGATAAATAACAGGTTAAGTTAATCCTTTATTTAATACAGGTTTTGAACCGTATTCTTTGAAGGAGACGATTATATTCAAATCAATCTGTATTGCCATATCAATAACATTTTTTTGTCCAAATGCACAGATTGCCACCTTTGATAATAGACGACTCAATTGTCTATCGTATTCTTTTTTTAAAGTATATACATAATCCATTGAATTAAGCGCGTAAAAAAATTACATTGCAATTTTTTATTTATTGCTAAAATGAATAAACCAGCTCACAGCCAACGTGGTATTACGCGGAGCCCATAGACATCATCGACATAAATGCCTCCACCCACCTTGAGACATGAATTCTAAGTATCCGATTTCACGGTACAACGGCTGCGTCGCGTTTCAAACGGAAACGCATTACTGCTTCACGGCAGTAATAGGCAGGGTGGTGGTACCTACCCGTGCGGCCTTACAAAACGCAAAACGATGTCGTTTGCCGTGATGCCACCACCCTGCCTATTACTGCCGTGAACCAGTTCTACGCTGCTGGTATGAACCACCAGCGTAGACAATAAGTTTCAATAATTTAGATTCAATTCAAATTCAATTCCAATTTTAAACTGTAAGTACTCAGAAACGTACTCTTTTGACGTAGACAAACTCGTTTTGTTTCTGAAGACCATTGATATCACAGTCTGAATGCTGCCCAGTTTTAGAAATGAGTACGACAATTCGGTGGAATTTTATTTATGTCCTACTCGCGGTTGCGTGACAGATATAGGAAGGGTCCACAAGAAAAAACAGTACCATCCACCAATTTGCATGGAGTTGGAACAAATTTGAGTTTACTTTAACGCGATCGAGAAGTTAAAAAATTTTCACTACTGGTGGTAGGACCTCTTGTGAGTACGCGCGGGTAGGTATTACCACCCAGCCTATTTCTGCCGTGAAGCAGCAATACGTTTCGGCTAGAAGGGTGGGGCAGCCGTTGTAACTATACTTGAGACCTTAGAATTTATCTCAAGGTGGGTGACACATTTACGTTGTAGATAGATGTCTATGGGCTCCAGTTACCAGTTAACACCAGGTGAGCTGTGAGCTCGTCCACCAATCTAAGCAATAAAAAACAAACGTGTGGCACTCGGGAACTGCCGCGATAAAGCTATTTCATAGCATTTTTTATCAACTTATGCAATTATAATTAGACAATGATAATTTAATATTAAAACAATAATAAAACAAAACCACGCTATATTAAACATTAATAAAAGCAAAACCTTTACTGTCCCCTTCACACTCATAAGCTAGACCGCGCGAGAGAGAGATGGGCAGACTTTTTATGATACGCATGCAGTGTGACGTCACGCCACGCTTATTCACAAACACTACACAAGCGCAACGTGTGAATGTGTTGAATGCGAGCTACATGGTAGGCGGAGTGAGGGGTGTTAGGTTTTTTTCGTTACGGAATTTCATGATTCGGTCGTCGCGGACAAGGCCTGCGATAAAAGCTATGCAATACCTTAAAAAAAACTAAGCACACAGAACTAGTTATAGACCGAATCACGGCTAATAGCTGTAGGTTCTTTCCTGAAGCGAAACTGATACTTTGAAACTAATCGTACCTACATAGAGCTACTTTTCTAAAGTTGAACAATGATCTTTGTAACACAATACACATTGACGAATACAATGCTCGGATATCGTCAAAGTTGGTTAGTGCCTCGGCGTACGAACGATCGAAAGCGACGCCGTGAACCTGTGCGACACACGGTCAAATATTGTTACT